TTTGTTTTTGTTTGTTTTTTTTCTTTTCTTTTTTGTTTCGTTGCGTGTTATCTGTTTTGTTTTGTGTTTCGATTTCTTTTGGCCTTCATTTTGCGTTCAGTTTTGATTTGTGTTTTTTGTTTTATTTCATGTTTTTTTGTTTAGTTTCATGTTTGGTTTTGTTTTGACATTTCATTTAGCTTTACATTTTACAAATATTGTTTGTGTAGTTGTGTAGGAGATGACAAATTGTAGCAGTTGCTGTTAAACAAAAGCCAGCATCAAAGCAAACGGTTGACATTCTCATCTGTATTGAGATGAAATTATTATTATTATTTTTTTGCTTATTGATACTGACTGACTGAATAACCGAATAACGTCAAATAGCCATACGACTCTGAAGATAACTCGGGTACTTTTTGGCTGACATTATCAAATAATACTTTATTTATAATGATTGACAGGGTGAAATAGGTTTTTGAAATATAGCTTGAATTATTTAGAAACTTTTTGGTTTGCCGTTATTTGATTTTAAGGTCACGGTCTCTTCTGAATGCTCTTTTTCATTGGAAGTTGCTCTGTATATTTAAAAGCTTGAACACGTTTTTTCTAAGTCCCTTAATCCAAACTAAATACTGTCTCTGGGTCATGAAGTAGTATTGCAATAGCAAGGTTGTCTGTGTATTAATTATAGATTTAGAAGTAAATGTTGTTATTATTTTGGCATTGTGGTCATATGTGTTTTTTTGTTGTAGTTGAGATGAACATAATGGGTTTTGAGTGGCCTGAGTTTTTGCCCTGCAAATGACACCATTGTGCTCACTTGACGCTTTTGGCCTATTTTTAGTTGTGGAAGATGGAGTAAACACGAGGGAAGTAATGATGGATGTGTTGTGCTGATATGTGTCCAGTTCAGTAGACTGAGACTGGACATGGCTGGAGTCGCTCACACTTTTCTCAGGAGAGGAAAATGCTCAATGATGTGTGGATTCAGAAACACAGGAACACAACAGGATGACACCAAATATTAATTTTTCTATCTTTTCTTGTTCTTGTTTGGTTATAAGTAAAAGTGTCCACCCAAAACTAGCAGTGAATCAGAAGTCAGAGTTTGCATTTGCTTTATGGCATATTCCAGGACTTTTGGGGACACTTTGACAACACGATAGATGCAAAATGCTACATTACTGTTTTATGATCATTATTATTTGTGTTTAATTTTTATGTATTTTAAAGGATTTAAAAAAGTGTTTGTTGGATATGTTATAAACAATAATAAAGCATGCAGTGCTTTGAAAATAAATATTTATATCCATTTCTCAGTGAAAATGGGTAATATACTGTATATTGGTGCATTTGAACAAAACAGATTTCTTAAACATATCTATTTATTAAAATAATATTTTAGTAACAGAACATCTTTAGAAATGGAAAGATAATACATTTAAATTCAAGCAAATTATTGCATCAAAAAATTACAAGCTACAACATTTCAGTAAAATTAAGTATATATTTTTTGTTTCTCTTGATTTTTGCTATTTTTGAAAATTTTATGTAATATATTTCCTTAACATAAATTTGGGCATGATGGACTAAACTAATGTATATAGTATATATAATGTATATAGAAATATAATGTTGTAAAGCACCCTACAGAAAATATCCATTTAAATGAGAGATTTGTGGGGGGTGTACTCATATATGCTAAGCACTTTACAAGAATATAATATAAGTATAGATTTTTATTTTTATATTGTATTTTAATTTGTATTTTATACTAGGATATATTATTGTCAATTGGAAATTATTCTATTCCTATTTAAACATTTAGTAAGTAATTTTTATTGCTTTTTCATATTATTATAAAATATTTATTATTATAGAAAATCATTAGTTTATGTTTAATATTTTTTTGTAAAATTCATTAAAAATTGTAAAAAGTGTGTGTAGATGTGTATATATACTGTACGTGTGTGTATATATTTAAAATATATAATACATATTTTTTATTAATATTTTTATTTTTATTGTATTCATTTGTAAGGTAATAATGGGGAAAATGCATTGACCAATAAATAACATATGTGTTATGTAATATTTATTATTTAATATGTATTATGTAATTTGTATTCATATCAGTTTTTTATTGTTTTTGTACATTGCAATCATGTTTATGTATATTGATGGAAAATTGCAAAAAAGTATATATATTTAGCTATGTTTAGACATCTTGGTAGTATTATTTAAAAAAATACATTGACCATATGAAATAAACAGATTATATATGTAAGACAATGCAAGGCAAGTTTATTTATATAGCACATTTCATACACAGTGGCAATTCAAAGTGCTTTACATGAACAGGAATAAAAGAGACGCGTATAAAAAAATAATTATATACAAACAGATTAAAATGTGTTAAAACAGGTTAGAAAAGAATGAAAAAGAAAAGAAAGACATAATAGTGCGATCTGTTGGACGTAGCACAGTGCTCATTTAGTAAAGGCACAGCTAAACAGATGTGTTTTGAGTCTGGATTTTAATATGCCGAATAATGTTGGAGCACATCTGATCATTTCCGGAAGCTGACTCCAGAGGCAAAGGGCAAAGTAGCTGAAGGCCGATTCACCCTGCCTTGACTAAACCCTTGGAATTTCAAGTTTATATGATCCTATTGATCTGAGGGATCTATTAGTTTTGTATTATGTATGTAGTTTGTAGTTGATAGTAAAACTTTGTAGTTTGGTCTTTTGAGACATTTACTGACAAATGAGTTTTCCATCCATCTTCAAGCATTCAAAAAACAGAACAAAAAAAAACCTTGTTTCATAGTATTTTTGTGAATTGTTTTATACTCTATTTGTGGAAGCTTTTCTTTTTTTATTGTTGCAAATGTACCCATTGGGTTGCCTCAGTATTGGTTTGTTGTTGTTTTTTTCTCCAACTTTTGTGAAACTTGCAGCACATCTTTGGAAATCTTACACGCTTGTTTGTATTTGTTTCAGTAGCGCTATAATTATACCCTCCCTTACTGGCCCTTTTTGACTTCTTTGGGTTCTTGTTTAACGTGGCTGCTGTTTGACTGGAAACACAGCATCGCAGATTACAGTTTGTGTCTTGCCTGAGTTTACTTTTCAAATCAAACCTCCTGCTTGATGCAGCAGCCGGGGGTTGCTAGGCAACTGTGAGAGCTGGGTGACAGCTCATAAAGTCTCTCAACATTCTGGCACCAAATTCCAGGATTATCATGAAACATCAAAGAATTATTACCTTCACACACCTATTAGACAACTTCAAATGAGGCAACATAGTCAAAACCATGCTTGATTTATGAAAGCTTTGAGGCTGGTACCCTTTGGTCTTTCATTTTTAAAAATTTTTTAAACCTTATTTCTCCCAAACTACAAGTGTTTGCTATGTGTGGCCTGCCACATAAAAATGAATAACTTTTGTAATCTTATTTTTGAGATATTTTAAGTTTAAAATATTTTATTGTATCCTGAAATCCATAGAAATATGCAGCGTTGTTTGATGTTTAATTACCATAGACTGTAAGAAGTATGGATGTAGTCTCTGTGACGTCACATTACAATTCGAGACGGTGCTCGTTGCAGAGCCATTTGAGCAGAGTTGAGCTCCAGCGAGGGGGAGCATGAGCTCTCGCTCCTCCTCCTATAAGCTGTTTTAATGCGTACACCAACCCCACCCCTAACCCTACCCCCAGTGACATCACTCGTAGAAGAAGTGCAAGAAAGGAGGAGCGAAAGCTCAAGCTCCCCCTCGCTGGAGCTCAGCTCTGCCCAAATGGCTCTGCAGTGAGCACCACTTGAACAATTCACATACCATAGAGCAGTGTTTCTCAACCAGGAGGACCACCAGCAATGCAGGTTTGGGTGTCTCCTTTTGTCTGGCACACTCATTACAGCTCTTTCAGTCTCTTTTAGTGATCTAAAACAGGTGTTTGGTTAAGAAAAAAAAATGTGCAAAGCTAGTGGTCCCCCAAGAGCGTGGTTGGGAAACACTGCTATAGAGAATTTGATTGTCGGCCTTTTTGGTGTAAGTGGGAAACTGCAAGTTTTTATCTTCTAATAATAAATAACTTTTAAGACTAACATTTTGATACTAACTCACACAAAAGAAGCTAATTTTGATTTCAGGGGCACTCATCTAGAGAGGGAAAAAAAAACACAAGCATGCCAGTGCGCTGTTAAACGCGCTAATTTATTTAAAAAGTTAAACATTAATATGAATATTAACTAATTAAAGTGAAATAATGACATGTAGCCTTCAATTTCTTCTTAATTAAATTACCGACATAGTCTTCAGTGCATGATTATTAGATACAATGCATTAATAGTGAGTGCTCTCTGGGTTTGACTGCGATGCAGGCCTGTAATTAAAATTAGCTGTGTGCCTTTTTCTTTTTTCACAGCTCTAATGCTGTTCATTTTTGATTGTAGAATGCTTATTAAAGCTCTCCAAATGATCCAGCCAAGAACATAGAGTACTGTTTTTTTGTTGTCAATATTGTTGTATAATGTATTGTTAGAACCAAAATAGACAAGGGCAGGTCTATTAGGCTGCATTTACACAACAAGCTTAATTATTTGACATATTTTTGTTTTGTTTTGTCCTGCATTATCATAATATTCTGTGTTTGAATTCATACCTCATAAAGATGAAATTTCGAGCACAATTATTTTCCAGCCATCATTTAAAAGCAGACTTTTAAAATTAAAACTGAATTATTAATTATTGATATAAGAAATTCCAAAAAATATATAATAGTGATAAATACACAAATAATAGTTTTATATAAATAAATGTAAAAATATAAATTTATCAATGCAACTAAAGTGGTAAATTTGCTTTGATTGTACTAGTACTTTAATTAATTAATTAATTTATTTATTTATTTAATTATTTACAAAGTGATATAAATTGTGCAATTATTTTATAAAAACAAAGTCGTTTAAATTGTGTCTGATGTTTTCTGTATTTTTGTGCTGCTTCATTCTTAGGCTGGAAAAGGAAAAGTCTCAGGCTCACGCTAAGGCTCAGGCAGAAGCTCAAGCCCAGGTAAAAGATGAGGTGAGCAGGATCCTCGCGTTAGAGAAATCTGGTGCAGAGGAGACCATCCAGAAGGCCATCCTGAGAGAAAGAGTCTCTGCTGAAGATGAAAGACTACAAGCTCAGATATATGTGAGTAAAAGAGCAAATGTAAAATTGCATGACTGTGTTTAGTGGAGATCAAAATTAGAGAACCACATGCAGATTCCGGCATTTTGAGGTCACTTCATGAGCCTTTTTTTAGGAGCATTTTTACTCTTCACAGGGGTTGTTGGTTTTACAGTCATCCAAATCCAGAAGGTTTGTATTTTTCTCTTATGACCCACATGAAAATTTATTTACCTGCTGTTTTTCAACACCAAGGTCGTGTGGTGATGTAATTGCCTTCGGAGCACGATTAATGTTAATTTGCATTAGAAATGTGTTTATTAAAAATGGACACTACAACACCAATGTGCTATAAATGTAGTGTCTGTGTACTGTTTATGTTTAGTAGCTGTCAAAATCTGACATTGTTTTAGTTTTTAGTTTTAATCCAATTGGCTGTTGCCATGGTGATCATGCCAGCATTGATGCCAATGCCTCATGTAAATCTAGCATAAGTTTGATTAGAGTTAGAGTTAAATTCTGCAAGAATGCGGATCTCACAAGCCACTTTTCACTGGGAAGCTATGCCTTTTTTTTTCTTTTACAGATGTCCACATGGGAAACAATTGACACCCAGATAGGGCTTTAGTCCTGTTTGAAGTTACCCTAACAGAAGAAAATTATCAGTATTTTTAACACATTTCTTTAAATAGTAAGAAAAATGTATTTACACAGCACATTAAACGTAGCAAAGTTATTAAAATTGCTTAGCCATGTAAAAGATTAATAAAAAAGCAAGATAATGCTAATAAAATAATCTATTGTAAAGCACATAAAAAACTAAATTAGGTATTTGAAAAATGAAAACTGATCAAAATCAGTAAACACTTTTTTTTTCAGACGGAAATAATTTAGAAGTTATATTCTTTTCTTAAATTAGTTTTGCTTCTGTTTTTTGAATTAGATTTAGTTTCCTTTTTCTGAGCCAAAGATATACCAACTTCTCGTTCTCCTAGGGCTTTTATACTATGACCACCAAACTACTTAACTTAACTTATTGACTTAACAATGCACAAATCTTTGACACATCATAACTTTGAAATAGAAATTCTTAGAAACATGTGATCTTCCAAAATTGAAGAGGCTGCCAAGCTGTGTACATCAACACACTAAACTGGGGTGTAAGTTGTACCCCTGGGGTGCAAGACTGCCCCAAATTTGCCTATTGACTTACAATGGTGAAGACACTTCCATTTAAAACATTTAAGGACTTCAAATCGCATTGACTTAACATTGGACCAAACTCCTCCTTACTGGCTTTTTACCTTCAACACCCCCTCTTTTCACCATCCAAACACCTTGCTACCTTCACCCACCAGGTCTTCATCTTTATGAAGCCACCTCCCCCTACCAACTCTTCACAATCACCACTCATTGATTCCAATGCCCTCCTGCCAACTGCCTTTGAGTCTCAGCGCAGTTACGTTGGCTTTCACAAACCAACATCAATGTTCATCAATGAACTTTAGGCCTATTTAATATATGTATAAAGCCTATTAAAAATGTGCCCCAAATGTACGAGCAAATTCTAAAAAACATTATACTCAAATAAAAATGTCTGTAGCTATTGAGCTGTGTGGTTTATCTTCACAAATCCACTCTCATTTAAATGTAGACATTTGATAGTTTGTTACCCAAGAGTAGACTATTTTAATAGCATGGTAGACCCGCAACTAAAATTCTTTCCAATTTTAAAGCATGCAAATCCCATGCTTTTAGAAATAAATCAAGTGTTTTTTAATTGTTCTCTAATTTTTATCACTTTATGTCAGTGTTGTGAAAATCTAAGCATGTATGCTTATTCACACTGCACAGAAATCTGCTTTCCAAATCTTTAGGACTGTACCACAAGTGATGAAATTTGATCAGTTTGTTTCAGACACTGAATTCAATATCAGGTCCATTTACATTGGTTGCTATAGTAATGACTTAGGTGCCAAGAGACATAAGAGAGTAATAATCCTTGTAGAAAAACCATGACATGGACATTTGAATCATGCACAGCTGTGTGAAGCTATAGGAACATAATACTATGTTTTGAATGTGAAACACTTGGAAAATCAATCAAATTTTACATTCAAGCTTTTGGAAGATGCTTGTATGTGAGAACACTTTCATTGAATAGAATATAAATTAGCTATGCATTTTCTTTGAATCAAATGCATGGCCTTGCAGTTTTTAGCACACAATACTCTACTGTTTGAACTAAAGCAAGACAAAGCTGTTCACTTTACTAGCAAATAAACAGATTTGAGTCAGCTATGCCCAACAAAATTTCATTTTTGCTGCTTGCCTGAACAAAGCCTCAGAGTAATTCGCCATTCAAGGTAGACCTCGGTGTTTTAAATAATGTTGCCTCTCAGGAAGCCATTTAATGTAAATTTAGCTTGGCACCGGTTCCCACCCTGGCACTGAGAGCAATGTGTTTTAAGAGCATGTTTGCTTTATTTTACACTGCATTGAAAATCAAGCAGCCTTTTGAAAGTTCTGTTTTCCCAGAGTATAAACATCATATCACATTGCACTAAATTATGGATGATAACATTTAGAAATCCTCAAGGAATGTCAGGAAGTATTTTTACTTGATTTCCAGTACATGATTTTTCTTTAGTTTACAAAAGTGGTTTTCAACTTTGTTGACTCCAAGGATTCCTATTTTTTGAGACAATACGTGTGTAACACAAGGAGTCGGGTGACAATGAAGGTGAGGATCCACATGCAGTTTATTTGCAAGATTAGTTAGGCAGGCAATGGTCAAAACAGGGGCAAACAGATGTATACAGAGAATTCCAGAAACGTGGTGACCAGGTGGCAAGGAAACAAGCGGCAAGGAATCAAAACGATAAAACAAGGCAAAACTACTACGTAGTGCCACATGATAACAGGACTCAGCAAAGTGTGTGGGCATGTAAGCTGTATAAATAGTCCAGGTAATAATTCAATGATGTGTGTCTGTGTGTCTGTGTATGTGTGTAATCAGGGAAAACCGGGACGTGTGTGGGAGGTGCATGACAGCATATGTAGTCCATTTGGTGGCAGATTTGTAGTTCTCCAGCGATCCGCTGTAGCTAGATTGCTGGTGACTGTGACATTGTGAAGCTTTCTTTATAATATTTCTGTTTTAATGACAAATCTACTCATTTAAATCTATAAGTAGCAATGTTGGAAATTAATTAAATACAATATTTAGGTACAAATAAAATCACTGCATTCCGTAAGTCCAAGCTCTACATTGTTTACACGCTATATTATCAATGTTTTTTATTTATTTATTTATTTTTTTGATTTATGGGTAAAACTTTATAATAACTACACACCATGAATCATCACTTTAAGTCCTCACTAGGTTACAAACTGCATGAATTTGAGTTAATAAAGCATTTATTAAAATACAAAGTATTAATTTATGCCTGAATAATAAGATGCATGTTAATTGAAATAGTTTATTAAATATTTAAATGATCTTAACACAACCAACAACTGCTTTTACATAACTGGTTTGTAAATAATGCAATGTTTAATATAGTTATAAAAAATAAATCATTAACAAAGTATGAAACAACAATCACATTATGCATGTGCTTATTTACAAAAAATACAGCATTTGTAGATGTATTTATAAACTGCATACTAACATTTATCAATGTAGAGTTAATGCTTTACAAATAATGAATAAACTATTTGCTAATGCCAAATAAATTATTCATAGTGTGTAGCTATTTTAAAGTGGTACTGATTTAGGTCTAATTATTTTCTTTCATAATACTTTTTTTTTTTTTTTTTTTTTTACAAATAGCCATTTCTTAGCAATTTCTAGTCAATAAAATATTTTAGAAACTGACATACTGGGAAAAATAGAAGTATGAAAGATTGATTACTTTTTTATATGAAAGTGAAGGAAAGTAATTTAACTAGTCTGAAAACATTTTAGAGTATGCTATTTTGATGTTCTTCTGTTAGTTAGTGCTTTTGTCCTTTTTCTGTTATTCATGCATTTTACAATTAAAAGATTTGTTGAGGCATGAGTGTAGTTCACATTTATAAAACCTTTCATTTTACTTAACCTTTTGAAAAGTGCCCCCACTCTGAGCCCAATCCATGAAAATCAAGTACTTGAACTCAAATGGCTGTTTTTCCTGTACCATGTGGAGTACGAGCACAGTTTTTTAATCATTTGAACAAGAGTTTGAAGACATTCTGAGCTTTAGTTTTATACTTTCAAATCTTACAATTAAAAATGACTTTTGCTGCTTGTTTAAACTTCTTATTTAAAATGAATTGAAACAACATAATTCTTAAAGGTTCAGCATGTAAGTTTGACACCCAGTGGATGAAGTAGGTATTGCATTCATAGACCAAAACAAATTCAAGCGCAGGTTGCCAGATTGACAACACCAACCAGAGCGAGCCATCGAGCCTAAACGCTGATTTAAGACTAATTTAAAGTGCGCTTTAAATAAAAGCAATGACACGCAATAGAAGGAACATTTTCATTTTAAAAGGAGTTTTTGTCCTAACCAACATCTGGAATTTATATTTTAGAAACAGTTTCTATTTCAGCAGAACAACAGAAAACTTGTGCTTTATCCGGTGTTAAATGCTAATAATGTGACTTTGAATGGCACTTTACATGACATTTATTGCCATACTACTGAAATACTGATAGTTCATCTTAGATCTTAAAAATAAAATAAACCGTTTAAAAATGGAACTTTATAACTGTGAAATAATGCAAACAAACATATATCAGTAATTCAGCATCTACATTTAATATTGTTAATGAGGTTTAGTATGTACTAATTAGATTATAAACTTTACCATTTTGTGAGTGAGTTCATACATATTCTGTGTTTCTGAATGGCTGTATATAAATTTCTGTCGTGTTGCGTCCGGTGCGAAGCAAATCTCAGTGCAAAATGTGTAGCTAGGAAACAGGGTTACAATGTAACCTGCTCACCTAATGTTTTTGTTCATAATATTTATAT